CCACTGACTTAACCAGTTATTGAACTCACACTCTTTGGTTCCTGCCACTGGATCTAACCTTTAACGCCTTTATCCACTGTGCCATGTGCCCTTGAGGACATCTCTGTATGAATTTCTGAGACTTGTATACCTAATGTCTTCAGCAACCATTTTTACCATTTTTTTTTTATTGCAATTTTTGCTGTTATCATTGCATATTTTTTTACCAGAACTCATATTGCAATTTTCTTTGTTATTATTGCTTTTCTCTGGCACTCTTCATTACTGGGTCCCATATTGTATTCATTTCTATACTTGGTCGGCTCAAGAGATTTTTGTGACCTAGTATATGTGCTGATTCCTTAAGTTTACGAATTTTCCAATGATGTTCTTAAATTAGTTATAAAGATGGAATTTTCATATTTAGATTTCGGCCTTAAACAACCGATATAGGTAGATATGCCACTAAACAAAAACAACCAAACTAATCTTAATAAATAAAAAGCAAATATTGGCATACATTGTCAAAAAAACAAAAAAAAAAACAATTTGCTATAATTAATCTCATTTCTTGTAAGGTTTGTTTTTTGTAAGATTAATTGGTTAAAAAAAAATGCCGATAAGTAATTTTAATTTAATCATGAAATAATGTCATTCTCTTAATTATAAAGTTTGAATTTTCATATTTATATTTCAGCCTTAAATAACCCATAGAAGTTTTGATATGCCGCTAAACCAAAACAACCAAACCAATCTTAATGAATTTCTACCCATCAAGCAAGGTCACCTCCACATTTTATAGACCGTAAGTGCTTATTCATGAAAAATCTTGGGTATGTACTGCCTTACATGAAAGATTGCATTATGATGCATCGTAGGAACAGAACTCTGTCATAATCAAGAATTTCCTGCAATTGTAAAGAAAAATATATATTTAAAGACTTGCAAATGTGACAAATCTAATAATAGTAAGTACTTAATAAAAATATGCTATCATTTTTTATAGCATTGGTAAACTAGTTATTTATAAATAAAAAGTGAATATTTGAAATCACTAATGACTAAACTTGCAAACAATAATGGAAGTCATACAAATAGAGAAAGTAGTATTTGTAATAATTAAACAATGATATCAAAGTGAAAACTAGTTATAATTTACTTATGCCTTTCCTTATATTCATTTTAGAGGTCAAACATTGCCACTATTAACCCATCATTTTGGGGAGGAGCTTGTTTTGTAATAGTTTTCAATACAATAAAAAGGGAATTGCTATGCAGAGTTTAAAGACGATTTTGTTTGCTTTGCACTAATACCCTAAAATAACCAACAGTACATTTTTATAGCAAAATGACAATCAATACATTTTATAGTAAAATTGAAGACATGGCATATTGGCATACATTGTCAAAAAAACTAAAAAAACAAATTTGCTATAATTAATCTCATTTCTTGTAAGGAGAAACACGTTTTCACTCCTCGTTTTTATTTTTTTTTTTTGTTTTTTTTTTTGTAAGATTAATTGGTTAAAAAAAATGCAGATAAGTAATTGTTGTAAGGGTTACTGAGTGCGGAATAATCAAAACCGAGGTTGGAAATTAAATAGTAAACTTTATAACCTCAACAAATACAACAGCGTGTACTTAGATAGCATATTACCCCCATTTACAATAGTGTCCAGCATATGAGGATTGGGACGTACCTATTAGTGTTCATACGTACAAGTATATAACAGTAATTATAATTTAATCATGAAATGATGTCATTTTCTTAAATTAATTATAAAGTTTGAATTTTCATATTTAGATTTCAGCCTAGTGGTCGAAATTAATGTAAATCTTCAGATGCTAAATCCTAACGAACTTATCTTTCCTTAAGTATATTTTGCAGAATGTGCCATTGCATTTATATACAGGAAAATAACACCTTTTCTTTTTACTGGAACAGGACACTTTCACCGCAATGCTTCGTTTACCCAATCTAATTGCCAACAATATATTTTATAATAAAATCACCAACAATACGTTTTATAGTCACGTGATCAACAATGCCTTTTTATAGTAAAATTACCAGCAATACATTTTTATAGTAAAATCACCAACAATACATTTTATGGTAGAATTGCCAACAATACATTTTATAATAAAATGACCTACAATACATTTTTCTACTGAAATGACCAACATTACTTTTTTATCCCCAAATTGACAATCAATACATTTCATAATAATATTGAAGACATGCCATACATTGTCAAAAAAAAAAAGAACAATTCGCTTTGATTAATCTCATTTCTTGTAAGGAGAAATAATTTTTCACACCTCATTTGATTTTGTATGATTATTTGGTAAAAAAAAATGAAGTTAGTAATTGTTGTAACCTAGGAAGGGTTATGGAATGAGAAATAACCAAAACCGAGTTTGGAAATGGTAATCTTTATAACCTCAACAAAATACAACAGAGTGTACTTAGATAGCATATTACCCCCATTTACAATAGTGTCCAACATATCAGGATTGGGACGTACCCATTAGTGTTCATAGGTACAAGTATATAACAGTAATTATAATTTAACAATGAAATAATGTCATTTTCTTAATGTTGAAACTTGAATAAAGCATGGAATAATAATAATACAACACAAAATGTACTTAAACAAAATGTATTGACACAAGAACGTGTACACAATATTTACAGATAGTTTGGTATATTCTTGGGAAGACCGTTCCTGTAGAATGGGTTGACTAAATCGCAGTCGGGCAGAGTATCTGGATTGGATCTCTTCTTACTTCCTCCCCCGTCTTCCGGTACCAACCCATATTTATATGGCCGGTACTCCACTATGTAAATTAGGTGGATCGTACAACAACACTTAAATTAATTATAAAGTTTGAATTTTCATATTTAGATTTCAGCCTAGTGATCGAAATTAATGTAAATCTTCAGATGCTAAATCCTAACGAACTTATCTTTCCTTAAATATATTTTGCAGAATGTACCATTGCATTTATATACAGGAAAATAACACCTTTTATTTTTACTCGTACAGGACACTTTCGACGTAATGCTTCGTTTACCCAATCTAATTGCCAACAATATATTTCATAATAAAATGACCAACAATGCATTTTTATATTAAAATTACCAACAATACATTTTATGGTAGAATTACCAACGATACCTTTTCTAATAAAATGACCTACAATACATTTTTCTACTGAAATGATCAACATTATTTTTTTATACCAAAATGACAATCAATACATTTTATAGTAATATTGAAGACATTGCATTTATTGTTAAAAAAGAAACAAAAAACAATTTGCTATGATTAATCTAATTTTTTGTAAAGAGAAACTAATTTTCCCATCAAATTTGATTTTGTAAGATTAATTGGTTAAAAAATGCAGATAAGTAATTATAATTTAATCATGAAATGATGTCATTCTCTTGAATTAATTATAAAGTTCGAATTTTCATATTTATTTTTTGGTCTTAAAAATGATATGGGTTGATATGCCGCTAAACAAAAACAACCAAACCAGTCTTAATGACTTTCTTCCTATCAAGCAATGTTTAATTCAGAACCCTTGCGACCCGGCCACTGCTGAGCCACAGAAAATGTCGAATGACAGAAATCATTCTTACAAAAAATTCTATGTAAACAGTCTTTCCAGCTCATGTCAAATATATATTGCTATGTTATTAAGGATAAAACAATCATAAATGCTTTCAAAAAATTATTAACAAGATTTATTAAGAATAATTAAGAATTTAGAAGTAAGAAATTTTCTAGATCTAAAAAACTATTACGAATAAGTATCATTAAGAATTATTCCAGATGTAAGAATAATTAATTATTCTAGGTGTAAAGATTATCTATTAGAGAAGTATTCCAGATTTGCCGTAGAATGTTGAAAACGTGTCGGGCTTTGTTGATTTGGCACTTGATGTCTTCATCTGTCCCCACCATCTTTACTAACGACGCTTCCCAGTTAGACAAACTTATTGATTTCCTTGTCTTCTTGGTGTAGTTATTGTCTGTTGTTTACCAAAACAGACTTGGCGCCGAAGTGTTGACACAGAGATGACGGCAGCCGGCACGACATGGGCCGAGCTGAAGAGGATCACCCGGGACCGCGTCCCTTGGAGAGGTGTTGTTGCAGCCCTATGTTTCCCAAGGAATCAAGAAGCAAGAGAGAAATGGAAATGGGGATGGATCGACCACACACACAGCAAACTGGCTTTAAGTGTCACCAGGAAGGCCCTTAACTGGAATCCACAAGGGAAGTAAAAAGTGGGTTGACCAAAACAGACTAGGTGCAAAAGTGTTGACACAGAGATCAGTGCAGCCAGCACGACATGGGCCGAGCTAAAGAGGATCACCTAAAACCGCGCACGTTGGAGAGGTGTTGTAGCGGCCCTATGTTCCCCAAGGAATCAAGAAGCAAGAGAGAAATGGAAATGGGGATGGATCGACCACACACACAGCAAACTGGCTTTAAGTGTCACCAGGAAGGCCCTTAACTGGAATCCACAAGGGAAGTAAAAAGAGGGTTGACCAAAACAAACTAGGTGCAAAAGTGTTGACACAGAGATGAAGGCAGCCGGCACGACATGGGCCGAGCTGAAGAGGACCGCCCAGAACCCTGTCCGTTGGAGAAGTGTTGTCGCAGCCCTATGTTCTCCAAGGAATCAAGAGCCATAATAAACTAATAATATTATTTACATGTTACTATTAATGTTTTTTTTAATCATATTAATATGCTTTTATGTTTCAGACCGCAATTCATATTGATTTTATGTTTCAGATAGCAGTTAAAGAACTATGAAAAGTTGCCCCTTAAATTGGATGACAATGAGTGAAAAAAGACACACTGTGTGTCTTGGTTTATTGAAAAAAATTCGGAAATTCAAACACGAAGAAATGACACAGCTAAATATGGAAAACAAGCTTCGGACTTTGTGGACCCCATGTGCAATATAAAAAAATCTTTTGTGATATTTTTGTTGTTATAGGAAGATGAAAGTTCTGCTTTCGAAAATTCCGACCCGTGGTGTCAGAAGAAGGATACATGGGTCCTTGTTGTCTGTCGACGTCTTAGAGGCGAAGAGAGACCAATAACTTCATATCTCCTGCTAAAATAGTAGGGAGACTACCCGTGAGTGAACGTTTTTGTGATCAATTCGGAACTCCCATATGTATAGCCCTTGCCGGAGAGAGGCTGAGCGCTAAAAACTTACTGTTGCTATGTGTGTGTTTTGATCAGCGTCTGAGAGTGGGTGTGAAAGTATATAAATGTGTGTTAACTCGCTACAACTGGGACAATTGGTATGAAAAATGAATTGTATGAGCCGAGTTCAATTTTCGACTGTAAATGTTTATATTCGCTTTGCATGATTGTCCTTGATAAAGGCGTGATTGTTTAGATTGGTTTGGTTTGTTTTAGGGCATATCAACCTCAATGGGTTATTTAATGCCGACAAGATTTTTATTACTGGCAACATTTTTTTCATTCAAAAATGTATTGCTGGTAATATTTTTTTCCAAAAATCTATTGCTGATAATATTTTTCCCAGAAATCTATTGCTGGTAATATTTTTTCACGGAAATCTTTTGCTGGTAATATTTTTTCCTAGAAATCTATTGCTGATAATATTTTTTCCCCAGAAATCTATTGCTGGTAATATTTTTTTCCAGAAATCTATTGCTGATAATATTTTTATCCAGAAATCTATTGCTGGTAATATTGTTCCCAGAAATCTATTGCTGGTAATATTTTCCCCAGAAATTTATTGCTGATAATATTTTTTCCCGGAAATCTATTGCTGGTTTAATGTTTTCTTCAAAAATTCATTTCTGGTAATAATTTTTTTACAAGAATGTATTGCTGGTATTAAAGCCTATTTTTAGTGTCTTGACCCAGTTTGGGTTTAACTATTTGCCCATAGCTGGGACCCTACCAAATCGGGTCAGGGTGGACCTGGGAACACTAGCAATTAAGAGGTTGTTCCACGCTCTTCGAAAACCACCTGATCAGAGAGCATGCTGTCGGATGTAGTTTAACGTTTTACCCAGGATGCGGTAAAGGCATGAATCAATTTGCCCCTTAAACCAGTTTTTTTCTGTTCGAAGGGTGTTGGCTGATGGTTTTTAGACAAACAATTCTGACTTGGAGTATTTTTTTTTTTTTGGTGGAGGAACTATGTAGACTTTACCTACTTTCTTTTCGATTGCTTATTCGTGCATTTTATTTTTTACCACCTCACCTATTTCGATTATTTTTTTTTCTTTACCTTTCACTTCATCATTTGGCTTTCAGCTTCTCGCCTCCTTTTGCCTCTTCCGGCTTTTTCTCTCAAATTTCGCCTCCTTACAATCCCCTTTCTTCTTCATCATCCACGGTTCTTTCCCTTGCGTCTTTCCCGCCACTCTACGCTTCCGCCACGCCGCTCTAACCACCATGTCCAGCCGCTGCTCCCTTCTTTTCGCTTGTCGTCATTTTCCTACAACCGCCCGAACATCCGCCCAAACCGCCCGCCCAACCGACCTCCAAGCCGTTCGCTTTTACCGAGATGCACGCATACAGCGAGGCAGACTCTACCTATCTCCTTGTCCATTCGATATGTCCAAACATTCCGCCACTAACCAACCAGTTACTTTACGGTATCTCCTGCCGGACCCTACATACGTCTGAACGCGACCTGCCGTCTGCAGATTCTGCGCAACAGAAGGCAGCGTCTGCCTCTCAAGACAGAAAAAAAAAGGTATTTCGCTTTAAAGTCAGATCAATACTGACCAACATGGCTTCTCGACTTCGTTATAGTTAAGGTAATGGGCAACTTTTCACATGAGCGTTTCTTTGCATAAATCGGAATAACAAAGAATAATGGTGAAGGATTTGAAGGAGTGACACAGCTTCAGGTATAAATGTCCTTCACGAATAGAAATGTTTTGTTTTGGTTGCAAGAAGAAAGGAAAAGAGTCTGTAAATTTTAGCAGATAAGGAAAATGTTCTATATTCAATGTACGCTTTGCATTCGGAAAAATCACCAATATACGGTATAAATAGGTTATGCAATCAGTTTGAAGCATATTCTTGTTTATTTTTTTCTGGAATAAAAGATAACGTGTTTCTAAATAGTCGAGTATCAATTTACTATCTATCTATCTCTTTTATATATATATGCACACACACACAAACATATATATATATATATATATATATATATATATATATATATATATATATATATATATATCAAGTATGTGGTGCAGTTCAATATACATTTGTTTTTGGTATGAATGATTCATGTAATATATATATATATATATATATATATATATATATATATATATATATATATCAAGTATGTGGTGCAGTTCAATTTACATTTGTTTTGGGTATGAATGATTCATGTAATATCTCTCTCTCTCTCTCTCTCTATATATATATATATATATATGATAGAACGCGTTTCTGAATAGTTGCGTATCAGTTTACGAAAATTAAGTCTATTATTGATTCAATAACTCCTAAAGAAATTAGTAAAGGAATGCAAGATATTGAAGCTGATGTTTACATTAACTGCAACAAAACAGAATGCAAAGTTGTTACCAAAACTGCAATGATGATGAAGTATACAACGAATTTAAACAAAACAATATACAATTGAAAAATGAAAAAAGAATATATATATATAGATGAATTATACAACGAATGTAAGCAAAATAATATGCAAATGAAAAAAGAATATATATATATATATATGTGTGTGTGTGTGCGTGCGTGCGTGTGTGTGTGTGTACAGGATGGAAATAAAGTCGCTATACAGTTACTTACAATAACAATTAGGACAAAGCAATTAATCAACAGTCCAGAAATTTATTAAAATCTTTCTGCTTAATCTATCTCAATATATGCCTGCCTCGGTCTATCTATCTATCTATCTATCTATCTATCTATATATATATATATATATATATATACCGGATGGAAATAAAGTCGCTATACAGTTACTTACAATAACAATTAGGACAAAGCAATTAATCAACAGTCCAGAAATTTATTAAAATCTTTCTGCTTAATCTATCTCAATATATGCCTGCCTCGGTCTATCTATCTATCTATCTATCTATCTATCTATATATATATATATATATATATATATATATATATATATATATATATATATATATATATATATACCGGATGGAAATAAAGTCGCTATACAGTTACTTACAATAACAATTAGGACAAAGCAATTAATCAACAGTCCAGAAATTTATTAAAATCTTTCTGATTAATCTATCTCAATATATGCCTACCTCGGTCTATCTATCTATCTATCTATCTATCTATCTCTCTCTCTCTCTCTCTCTCTCTCTCTCTCTATCTCTATATATATATATATATATATATATATATATATATATATATATATATATATATATATATACAGGATGGAAATAATGTCAATATACAGCTACTTGCAATAACAGTTAAGACAAAGCAATTAATCAACAGTCCACAAATTTATTATTAAAATGTTTCTAGTTAATAACAATAAAACGCTATGGTAAACAATAGTAAATTAATTACCTATACTGTTCGGCGGAGAAATGGATTGCCACTCGGAGAGTTCGAATTCCAGTCCCGTTTATTGCATTCACTTCAGTGCTAACACCTTTGAGAAAGGTATGAACGCATCTCTTCTTCCCCCAGGGCAGACTGCGTTTTATAGTCATGGGTGGCAACCAGTCTGGGAGAAGGAAAAACTCTCAATGCTGAGAATACCATCAATTTAATATGTAAGCAATGACAAACTTTTAAAGAAAATGGAAACAAAGCAGACACTTATTCTTAACATTAGGAAGACACAATTGAAATTGCAAGCGCACATAATGAGGAAAGTGGACTTGGAAAATTTGACATTCACGAGAAAAAGATGGTAAGAGGGAAAGCGGAAAGCCTAACTAATGTAATACATTTTGTACAGGTATGGCAGAACAGAGTTTAGGAGAGATAAAAAAAAAGGGGGAAATTTACTATGAGCTAGAGAAAATTGTGGAGAGCCATGATTTTTTTAATCGGAATCATCATGAGCAAGACAGTAATGCCACTAAAACACAAGGGTTTACACGGTATGGAAAACTTAGGAACAGAAACATTAATAATCAGGCGAAGACGTTAGAAGTATAGAGTTGAAGTAGACTTTAGAAGGAACAGAAAACCCAGTCCTAAACAGGAAACAAGGAATAAAACCTCTACTCCTGTTCAAAAGAGCGGTAAGGAATTTGAGCGGGCGAATGGGCGAATCTATCTATTCCTACTGAGGAAAGAAATAGTAAATCAATAGCAAATAAAATTTCAGAGTTTCAGGTGAAGACGTTAGAATTATAAAGTTGAAGTAGACTTTAGAAGGAACTTGAAACCCAATCCTAAACCGGAAGTAAAGGGTAAACATCTACTGTTGTGTAAAAGGCGTTAGAAGCGGACGATTCCGACAACGTATTAAGCATCGCTGCTATATCTGGACTAAGAGCGCCTCATACCCTATTTCTAGACTTGAGTTCAGAAAGCGTTTACACGGTCTTGTAATGTGATGATTTTCCACACTAGAGCCTCTTTCCTATAGACGAGAACTCGCAATATCCTCGTTGTTGTATCGCCATTTCCACGGAAAAAGGATCTGTCGAGCGATATCCATTTGTTCCACCAGATCAGTCCTTCACAGCTAAAACTTGCCATGCTTCATCCACAGAGTCGAATTATCCCCATTCCTTTCGTATTCCATTCGTAGGGCTTACGGCCAGATCAGGTTGAAACACCCGTTTCCGTACGATCACCGAAGTTAAGCAACGTCGAGCCTGATCAGTTTCCAGATGAATGACCGCTTGGAAATACCAGGCGTTTTAAGCTTGGATGTGCGGCTGGTGTAATCGTTAATGGATCAGAATTGTAAATCGCAGAGACGAGTTTCAATTCCTGTTAGGTTCGTTATGTTCACTTATGCGCAAATATAAGGAATATATATATATATATATATATATATATATATATATATATATATATATATATATATATATATATATATATATATATATATATGGTTCTGGTTAATAACAATAAAACGCTATAGTAAACAACAGTAAATTAATTACCTATACTATTCGAACTGCAACCTGCCTGCTTCAATGCTTTTTTATTATCAGTAAATATATATATATATATATATATATATATATATATATATATATATATATATATATATACAGAATAGGTATGAGTCTTATGTCTTCACGCCCAGCTATGGGTTAATTAGTAAAACTTGTCTCACTAAACCATTATTAACCCTCGCCAAAACATCGTGGCCGGACATTTGCCCGACAGACGTTTTGCCGAGAGACATTTGGCCGACGGACATTTGGCTGACGGATATTTCACCGAAAAAGTATAAGTAAAAATAGTAACAATCAATACTTTAAGTATTTTAATTAGTAATATTATAAGGTAGAATAGGACTAATAATTACCCCTGAATTTCAAGTGGTTAAATTACTAATTCTAAATTTAAAGTTAAAAGTTTTCTTATTTCAATATTTGTTAATTGAAATTTGTATTCTTCAAAATATTTGAGTGCATTTTGGTAGAAATTATTTAAATTATAATTCGTATTTAACAGTAAAATAAAAGCTAGTTCATCCCTTTAAGAAAATGATCATTAAAAGTGTAATTGAAAGATCTTTCGTGTCGTAAAAGCTTAAGATTTTTGCTGTAGTAAAATGTGCTTTTTCTCAAAATACTTATCATCTTACAGTAATATTTGAAGTAAAATATAACATATACAGAATAGATTTTTTTTTAAAAAAGCGTGTAAAAAACGAAAAATTATAAATTAATACAGTAAATATATATATATATATATATATATATATATATATATATATATATATATATATATCATCACATGTAACATATGTACGCCGCTACATTTTCGGCCAAATGTCCGTTCGGCCAAATATCCGAGTATAAAAAAAAAAAAAAAAAAATCCAATAATCTAAAAATATTTACTGGCTTTATATAACCTGAAAATTGTTGATAAACCGGAGTGAAGGATCAATCAAGGATCAATCAATCTTTTGGTAAGAAGTAAGTTAAATTCTGACAGCATTTTCCCAAAGAGTGCTTATGTGTGTAACAGATTCCCGAAGGGATGCTTCCCAGATTGCTACAATCTAAATCGCTTTAAATATATGGGTCAACCGTTATGTTTCTCTCCTATCCTAAAAAATATGTACAGCTTACCACGTTCTCATACTTTCATACAACAACCTTATTCTGTTTTGACGAGGTACATTCAATCCTTCCGCCAGGTCAGAGCTTCAGAGTCATGAAGAGCCATGGATATTCATACCACGTTCACAAGACCGAATCATTCTCATTACCTTCATATCCCATTGATAAGGATGAAGTTCCACCCATACTGATTTTTCCACCTCCTGAGAAAGTGTAGCGATATCATTGTCAGCTGACATCTTGTTAAATTGAATTCAGCTGACCTGTCACGAAAAATGGTTTCGGGCATTTATTTTCCCAATGACTATCAGCTAAATGAAGTGGTCCTCAGAAGGACTATTGCAAGCGGCTGGGACCAAAAAATAACTCACTGAATGAAGACAAATTGCTTTTTTTAGACAAAGATGACAAAACAAAGAATAATGTCCTCTATAAGACAGTGGCCACTGTAGAGAGACTGAGAGATCCCTCGGAAAACGACGCGAAAGAGAAGACGACCGTAAGACTATTCACCCATCTCCGTCACCTACGCCTCATCATGGCGTCGCTAATCTATAGTAGCAGGTTACAACTTGAGAATAAAATCTGCTTCCTGCTACAAATAATCATGGTCTTAATTTGTGGGTGACGATCTGACCCATGAAATATTTTCAGGGCGCAAGCTTTTGACTGGAAGAAGCCGCAGCTTGAGAACGACCTTGGTGCCTGGTTTGAGACGCAATGCTACAAATGGTTCCTTTGGGGAAAAGACCTGATATGATGCTTCCCTGATCATTTTTACCTTAACCCCTTCATCTATCCTACCTATTTTCATAATTTGAAGATGTCTCCCTTTTTACGCCCAAACTAATTGACCCACTAGCTTGAGAGACTCTTGAGCCTTGTATTGTTTCGTATTTGATATATAAGGCGCCAAAGCAGTTCACTATGTGACTTAGAATCGGAGCGATGAAATATAGGCCGATGCCCTACTGAGTCAGTAAAAAGAAACTCGCGTAGATTGATATCAGGGATTCAACATCGATCGTTTCCAAATTTGATAAATTGTCGGCGAATTCTTCAGTTCTTGGTAAACGGTTTAACAATGGAATCGTTGGCGAATTTGTTTTAACTGTCTATCTACAAAGACTGCTTCAGTTCCTTTGGCAACGAGAAGACGGTGCGAATTTTGTATAACAAACATGGAGAGATGATGAAATAATCACTTGTGTGAAAGGTGGACAGTTGTTACTTTTGTGGCGTAGAGTTTTTGATATCGCGCGCTCTGAATACAGAAGTGCGGGGGAGAGTGAAGAAATGTAGAAAAAGAGAAAAAAAAAACAATTCGAAAATGTTAAAGAGGACACGAATTTATTTCCTGTAGCTTTTCTCCAGCTTTTCTTCAACGTTGTGATAAAGTTGAAGAAATTAATGAAGCAAAATTGCCGTCACTGTTTGGCTTATTTCAATTGAATTGAGTTTGATCTACAGATTGATATGTTATAATTGATCTATGCGCATGATCCATCCATCGATTGATCAGTCTATGTAAGTCTTCTCATATCTATCTATCTATCTATCTATCTATCTATCTATCTATCTATCTATCTATTTAAGTTTCTCCATGGATTCCATCAGCCTGTTCGGATCGGTCTGACTCTCTATTTCGGTCTGATGATAAATATCTATGTCAGTCTTCTGAGATCTATCTATCTATCTATCTATCTATCTATCTATCTATATGAGATTTTTTACTTCTATCTATCTATGTATGTCAGATTTTTATTTCTATCTATCTATCTATCTATCTATCTATCTATATATGTCAGATTTTTATTTCTATCTATCTATCTATCTATTTATATATGTCAGATTTTTACTTTTATCTATCTATCTAATTTAGTCTCTTCATGTCTTCCCTCAGCGTGTTCCAATTTGCATGTTAGTATGCATCTATCTATCTATCTATCTATCTATCTATCTATCTATGTTCATATATTTCTGAAGTTGTTTTTCCTATCTATCTATCTATCTATCTATCTATTTATCTATCTATCTATCTATCTATCTATCTATCTATTTTAGTCTCTTCATGTTTTCCTTAAGCGCGTTCCTATTTGTCAGTCTGTCTCTTTCGGTATAATGATATCTATCTATCTATCTATCTATCTATCTATCTATCTATCTATGGTCAGTCTTCATATATATATATATATATATATATATATATATATATATATATATATATATATATATATATATATATATATGTCTATCCCTCTCATAATGTTAAAATCTATGTCAGACTTTTACATCATCTATCTATCTATCTATCTATCTATCTATCTATCTATCTATTCTTTCACACCACCTATCTAGTGAGCTAACGAGCTAGCTAGTTGTTTATCTATCTACTTTAGTTACAGTTATTATGCAAGAATGATGATATGTAGGAATATATGAATATAAGAATACGAATACGAATAAGAATATGAATGTGAATAAAAATAAGAATGTGATTAAGAATAAGCATGTGAACAAGAATTGGATGTGAATAAGAATAAGATATGAACACGAATAAGAATGTGAATAAGAATAAGAATGTGAATAATAATAAACATGTGAACAAGAATAAAAATGTGAAAAAGAATAAGAATGTGAACAAGAACAAGAATGTGAATAAGAATATGAATAAGAATATGAATAAGAATAATAATGTGAACAAGAATAAGAATGTGAATAAGGATTGTGTATGAGAATAAGAAACTGACTAAGAATAAGCATGCGAACAAGAATAGGATGTGAATAAGAATAAGAATGTGAATAAGAATAAGAATGTGAATAAGAATACGTGAAAGAAACAGATTGAACTACAATTAACGAATATGTGAGATATTTGAAAAATCCGTGCTTCTCAATGTCTTAATAGCTTTCTTATTTGAAGCGCAACTTCGTCCAGCTTAGTTTAAATAGCGAAATTCAAAATGGCGTGGCGCTTTGAAACGAAGCCCGATCTAAAAACCTGGCTTCCAAACCAAAATTGACAACAAAAAAAAAAAAAAAAAAAAAAAAAAACGTTCTAGTTAACCTTTACCCTTGCATTCATTTTTTTTCTTCAAATTATTTTCTCTTAGAGTTTCTATCCATTTTCTTTACATTTTCTTTTTTTTTTTTTTTTTTTGGACAGAAGATTTTAATTTTCGCGTTTGCATTCACCCCCTATCTAAAGCAAAAAAAATAAATTAAACAAAAAAAACTGAAGCTTCTATAGAAATCAAAAAGAATCCTTTTTTTCTTCATATTCTGGGAAAGTGTCCTCAGAACACATTCATTTTTCAAATGGATTTTAAATGAATGCATTTTAGTTGGTGCCCATGTACTGAATTAATGGTGATAATGATCCAATTTGATACTATCGTTATTAGAATAATTATGGTAGAAATTGGTTGGGGTACAGTGAATAGTCCTAAATGGCTTCTGGAAATTTAAGAAAAGGACACACTCCGTAAAGCGCAAGAATACTGAAAAAATACATTTACCGAGAAATTGTATATCATCTATTTACAAATACGAGATATTTTGAACAGAGAGAGAATCGTCATCGCTGTGTTCTATCTATCTATCTATCTATCTATCTATCTATCTATCTATCTATCTATCTATCTATCTATCTATCTATCTATCTATCTATTACTTCATCTGTATCTAGCTATTATTTCATCTGTATATATCTCTCTACCTATCTATTACTTCATCAGTATCTATCTATTTATTACTTCATTATTATCTATATTTCTATTACTCCATCCGTTATCTATCTATCTATCTATCTATCTATCTATCTATCTATCTATCTATCTATCTATCTATCTATCTATCTATCCCAGTCTGTTCATTATCTATCTATCTATATATCTATCTATCTATCTATCTATCTATCTATCTATCTATCCCAGTCCCATAATCTCTTCTATCTATCTATCTATCTATCTATCTATCTATCTATCTATCTATCCCTATCTATCTATCTATCTATCTATCTATCTATCTGTTCATCCATCTATCTATCTATCCCATCTATCTATCTATCTATCTATCTATCTATCTATCTATCTATCCATTCATCTATCTATCTATCTATCCATCCTCCCAGTCTGTTTCTTATCTATCTATCTATCTATCTATCTATCTATCTATCTATCTATCTATCTATCTATCTATCTATCTATCTATCTATCCCAGTCTGTTCATAATCTATCTATCTATCTATCTATCTATCTATCTATCTATCTATCTATCTATCTATCTATCTATCTATCCCAGTCTCTTCATAATCTATCTATCTATCTATCTATCTATCTATCTATCTATCTATCTATCTATCTATCTATTTTAGTCACTTCATGTCTTCCCTAAGCGCGTTCCTATTTGTCTGTCTGTCTCTTTCGGTATAATGATAAATATATATGTATATCAATCTTCATCTATATCTATCTATCTATCTATCTATCTATCTATCTATCTATCTATCATCTATCTATCTATGTCTGTCTATCCCTCTCATCATGTTAAAATCTATGTCAGACTTTTACATCAATCTATCTATCTATCTATCTATCTATCTATTCTTTCACACCATCTATCTAGTGAGCTGACGAGCTAGCTAGTTGTTTATCTATCTACTTTAGTTACAGTTATTATGCAAGAATGATGATATGTTGGAATATATGAATATAAGAATACGAATACGAATAAGAATATGAATGTGAATAAAAAGAATCGATCTATCGATCTCTCTCTATCTACCTATCTATCTATTACTTCATCAGTATCTATCTATCTATCTATCTATCTATCTATTACTTCAACTGTATCTATCTGTTTTTTCATCAGTATCTATCTATGTATCTATCTATAAATTACTTCAACTGTACCTATCTGTTACTACATCAGTTTTGATAGAAACGAGAGAAAGAAATAATAGTCATAGACAGATAGATAGATAGAAACGAGAGAGAGAAAGAAATAATAGTCATAGATAGATAGATAGATCTTTCTATCTATCTATCTATCTATCTATCTATCTATCTATCTATCTATCTGGGGTAGTTTGTTTCTATCTATTATTAATTATATTAAAACATTATATATTGATACTATCATGATATAAACTGCGAAGATGGCGGTTGATTATCGACTCGCGCATGAATCCAACGACATGATTTTTAATGTAACTTATCTCTGTTCTTCGAACACTGATATTTCTTATATCTATCTATCTATCTATCTATCTATCTATCTATCTATCTATCTATCTATCTCAGTCTGTTGGCCAATATCTATTAGCATTCTATATATCTCATTCTGTTGGTTAATATCTATCATTCTATATATTTATCTCATTCTCTTGGTCAATATCTATCTATCTATCTATCTATCTATCTATCTATCTATCTATCTCAGTCTGTTGGTCAATATCTATCTATCTATCTATCTATCTATCTATCTATCTATCTATCTATCTATCTATACAAATAGATATGAATAGATTGACATAAATATATACATGCACAAAGAAACGAATATATATTATCATTCGAATCCGCCATAAAGAAACTAGAATTAAGATACGCATGCGCACATGAATTAAACGCAAAAGAGCACTGCATGACAAGACAGATGAGTGTGAGGTCTGCTTAATCAATAATGTAAAAAAAAAATAAGTGACACAAGCATTAAAAATCGCAAAATTATCTTTTTCTTATTCTACGTTTCATTCTCTACGGAAGCTTTAGCAAAAATGAAACTTGTTAGATTTATTAACGTTTCTTATTCGTTTCTTATCTTATCATAGATAAATAAACAGATAGATAGATAGATAGATAGATAGATAGATAGATAGATAGATAGATAGATAGATAGATAGGTACGTAGAAAGGTAGGTAGATATTAATCAACACACTGAGATAAATAATGCAGACAGACAGATATTGATAAGACTGATGCACTTGAAATCTACATAATCAAAGAAAAACAAACAGAAATAATTAAAAATAAAAGCATCTAATTGACACACACGCATATATACACGAATATAAATTATCAACAAAATAAAAACGTTTGACTAACACACACAGGTACACAAATGTAAATTATTATTTAAATCCCGTATGAACAAACTAGGATTAGGATACACGTACACACATAAAAAATGCTTAATAAGATTGATGCGTGAGAGGTCAGCTTAAGCAATTAAAAGGAAACACCAAAAAAATTAAAAATAGTAGAATTTTCTTTTTTTTACGCCACATTTTGTTCTCTTTAGCAAAAATGAAACTTGTTAGATTTATTAACGTTTGTTCTTCTTTTATTTTCTTATCAGAGATAAATAACGAGATAGATAGATAGATAGAGAACGAGAAAAAGAAATAATAGCCATACATAGATAGATAGATAGATAGATAGATAGATAGATAGATAGATAACGAGAAAAAGTAATAATAACCTTAGATAGATAGATAGATAGATAGAGAACGAGAAAAAGTAATAATAGCCTTAGATCGATAGATAGATAGATAGATAGATAGATAGAGAACGAGAAAAAGAAATAATAGCAATAATAGATATAGATAGATAGATAGATAGATAGATAGATAGAGAACGAGAAAAAGTAATAATAGCCTTAGATAGATAGATAGATAACGAGAAAAAGAGATAGATAGATAGATAGATAGATAGATAGATATATAACGAGAAAAAGAAATAATAGCCTTAGACAGATAGATAGATAGATAGATAGATAGATAGATAGATAGATAGATAACGAGAAAAAGAAAAAAATAGCCATAGATAGATAGATTGATAAAGAACGAGAAAAAGTAATAATAGCCTTAGATAGATAGATAGATAGATAGATAGATAGATAGATAGATAGATAGATAGATAACGAGAAAAAGAAATAGATAGATAGATAGATAGATAGATAGATAGATAGATAGATAGATAGATAAGGAGAGAGTATTTTTTTGTGAAAATATATTTTCATTTTATTTCTAATTAATTATTGCAAGTTATACCAAACGTGTAAGAAATCCGAACACAGCAATCATGTGACAAAGCGAGAATTTTTTAATGGCAAAAACAGAAAAGAAAAAAAAACTGTTTTAAAGACTTTAACGTAGTCAAACTCAACCTTTTTATAGAAAACGGAATTATATTTTGAACAAAGGCAAAAAAAAATTAATTTTATCCCGTCATTTTCTTTTTCACTACAGCTCATACAGCGAAATGATATTTTTACCTTTCCAGGTTTCACTACGTTTTCCCGTCTCAATTCATAGCTGGCCATTTATTAGATTGACCGCCCGAGTTGGCGCACAGGATGAACAATGAACAATGAAGAAGAAGAAAATAATTATAATTCGTTCGATTTTGCGTTCGTTTATTACGTTATTCAGAAGATCAGGCCAAATTCACCACAGTGCTGAAAAGATGTCGATAGTTGGACGCCATTTTATGCGAAGCAATTATCAATCCCTATGCTCAAATGTAAAATTTAAAAAGAATAAGAAAAGGCATATAGGTACATAAATAGAAGCCCCATCAAAATCTGCCTTAAATTTTTTCTAATAATAATAATAATAATAATGAAAATCAATGATAATCCCCTAGACATCGTGATCAGAGACTGTAAAAACGAAATGTGCCTTCTTATTGATATTGTAATGTACCTTTGAAGATCTTTAAAAAAAAAAAAGCTATCAAAATACAAGGACCTTGAAATCGAAATCTTAAATATGTGGCGCATGGTGACACCAACAATTCCATTTATAGTTGGAGCCCTCGGATTGATTGGAAAAGATTTCAATAAACTTGTTGAATGGATTTCTGATAGTCAATGCCTTAAAGAAATACAAAAAATTGTTCTCACGACTATAGCCCACACCTCACGATGGTCTTTATCTACGTAATTTCTTTTTTTAATTTTTTTCGAAATTGCTGAGTGGAAAATATCCTGATGCCATTTGTGCCCTTAGGTCACTGGTTGGTACCCGGAAAGAAATGAGAACATACCATGAACCATAGGAAATAAAATAATAATAATAATAATAATAATAATAATATGCCAGTGGCTGCAGACGGGAATGTATCTTTGAAGAACTTCAAAAAACTATCAAAATACAAAATCGAAATCTCAAAAATCTAATACATGAAGACAAAAAAATTCAGTTGTAGTTGGAGCCTTGGATTGATTGGAAAAGATTCCAGTAGACTCAGTGAAAGGATTCCTGGAATGCCATTCCTTAAAGAAATACAAAAAATTGTTCGCACAAGTACAGCCCACACCTTACGAAGGGCAGTGAAAAATGTCATGATGCCATTTCTTACCTTAGGTCTATGGGTGGGATCCGGAAAGAAATGCGTACACTCCAGAAACCAAAGGTATAATAATAATAATAATAATAATAATAATAATAATAAGTGATAAATATCCAAAAACGATTGATCGTCTTGTATCAGGCTGCACGGTGTTGGCACCCACTGAATATAAAACCCGACATGACAGAGTGGGCCAATATCTGAACTGGAAAATCTGCAACTTCTACGGGAAGGAAACTGAAAAAAACTGGTATGAACACCAACCAGACCCGGTTACGGAAATAGGATCTGTTACAATTCTATGGGATTACACAATACACACTGACAGAACAATCAAGGCCAACCGGCCAGATATTGTTATTAAAGACCACAAACAAAAACGGTGCCTCCTTATTGATATGGCAGTCCCTGCTGACTGCAATGTATCTTTGAAGATATTCAAAAAGTTGTCAAAGTACAAGGACCTTGAAATAGAAATCTCGAAAATGTGGCATATGGGAACATCAACAATCCCTGTTGTAGTTGGAGCCCTAGGACTGGTTGGAAAAGATTGCAGTAGACTAATTGAAGGGATTCCTGGAAGTCCATGCCTCAAGGAGATACAGAAAATTGTTCTGACAAGTACAGCCCACACCTTACGAAGGGCTTTATCTATGTAATTTATTTATTTATTTATTTATTTGTCAGTGGAAAGTGTCATGACGCCATTTCTAACCTTAGGTCCCTGGGCGGGACCCGGAAAGAAATGTGTAAACGCCAGAAAATATCAAAGAAAATAAAAATAATAATAATAATAATAATAATTTCTGTCTATATCTCTGAGATGGGGTATTAGGGTTACTTGCATTATTTACATTATTTGGACTGTTATCGTCATCTTCAATGCCATATTCACAACGTTTCGGCCGTTGTACGCTCCGGCCTTCTTCAGGTGATTGGAATTTCGAACTGAACCCTTTATTATGTTTATCGAGTTAGATTGTTCTAGTTCCACGTGTTGTACATCTTCCTGGTGCTTCAGTTATTTCCCGTTAACTCAACTCTCCATGTTTTGGTTCATCACTGCTGTGGCCTGGTATTGAACTCACTACTCTTAGGTAAAAATGCAATAATAATAACAGAAAAAAAATTGCAATATGAGCACTGGTAAAATATCGTTATTGAGACATAAGCTTTATAAGTCCCCAAAATTCATAACAGATGTCCTCAAGGGCACATGCCCCAGTGGATAAAGATGCTGGTTAGATTGTGAGTTCAATATCAGGCCACAGCAGTGATGAACCAAAACTTGCAGAGTTGAGTTAAAGGATGAAGATGAGGATAACAGTCCGAATAATGTAAACAATGCAAATAATAATACACTCTAAAAGTAGCTTGAAATGACATATAGAGGTCAATAATTTCAGGAATACTCGGTTTTATTGGACACGGTTTCCATAGACACATTGGAAGGGCTACCTTAAGAAATACAAAATTTGTTCCTACAAGCATAGCTCACATCTTACGAAGGGCTTTATCTATGTAACATTTGTGCTTCCTTAGGTTTGCTTTTTATTTATATATTTTAATCAGTACAGATCGTGCAAGGGGATAATGCCACAAAGACGCAGGGGCTACTGGGGGGTAAAAGAGAATGAGAAATCTTTAGAAGGGAAACCCAAACCTAAACAGGAAACAAGAAATCTACCGAACTAAAACAGGTCAAACCACTTTTGACATGTTTGATCCTTTACAGTACCTACTCCATTTTTTTTTTGTGATTTTGAGTCGCATTTTACTTGTTCACACAAACAAACACACGTCGAATAAAAATTCTCACGATATAATCAACAGCAATCCCAAGAAGTCAGGGAAAACATTTCAGTCAATCTTAAACACGTTGATATCTGCAGTAAATTTGAGACCAAATAGACGTTCAAATCAAAGCGCCTCATTAGGGGTATAAACGTCCATCATTATAGGAGAATATTCAGTGAAGATGAAATGTTACTCGATTGTTTTTTTATGGTTACAAGCCAGTCCCTCCGACCGGCTCACTTAAGCAGTTAAAGCTGCCAAGCTCCGATTATCTGGATTTTTGCAGGCGTACAGTATTGTATCTTTTGTATAGATCGAGAATACAAAACAGAAGGAGGATAAGACCGATGGGGTCAGCTTTAGAGGACATCTTCATAAAAAAAAAAAAAAATGTCTTTTCGGCCAGGGGAATAAAAATGCTTACTTCCTTGGACACTTTCACGTGCTGTAATGGTTAGCATTAGAGGACATCTTCATTGATTCTTACGAGCTTCCGAAGAACAACAGTATTGCCATCCCACCTACCCAACATAATATAAAAAAAAAATACATCCGACTCTGATGAACCTTTTTTGTTTGATAGATAATACTTCAGTGCCGGTTTTGAGTCCAAATTGTTGGCGACAATGGCTCTCCACTACTTCCTGTCCATTATAACTCTCAGCAACGTTTTATTAATTAGACTATCTGTTCTTGGATATATATCTTTCATAAAGACTTAAAAAAAATAAACAGCTTAAATTATTAAAAAAAAATTATTTATTATTATATAGTTTCCTTTTCAAGGCCACACCACCATTCAAATTGTTAACCCCCCACCCACATTTGGTGATGTGCTTCAATTGTACCCAAATGTTGTTACTAATATTGATTTTCGGGTGGGCTGACTTTAAACTTAAATTGCTCCAACTGAACAGCATAAATTTCCAGTAATGAAAGACCCGGTCGAAGACATGTTATGTCAAACCTTTCGTCCAGCGGAATAAAAATGCTTACTCATATACAAATATCCTTGGGCACTTTCACGTGGTATAATGATTAGCATGCTTGTCTCGCTAGAATAATTATAACTAAGAAGTGAGTTCGATACTCACTGAGTGACACATACTTTCAGACTTATGTCAAATCTAAGCTAGGCTTTGAAATATCATCCCAAGTAAAAACGTCTGATCGTGTTATATCTGGTGATTACGCTGGCCACTCAATTGCGTCACGTCGTCCTATCTACCCTCAGCTGGGGGGAAAAAGTTACATTTGTCGCACCCTGGATATATCAGCGGATGCTGAAAAGTTAACGGCTCGAACTATCTCCCAAAACGTGACCAAATAATCTGACTTTTATAGGGGTCCAATTTTTGATCGGATCAAAAGAATTTCCACAATTATTCCCATTCAGATTTCCGTTTACAGCCGATAAACTATCTATCATCAGCATTTGTATCGAATAATTGCAGTATTTATTCTCCTCCTGGTATTAGATTATCCAGTGTGTCTTGAAAACTGTATTCCAAATTATTAGCAACTACCTTAGCTGCAAAACATCTAACATACTGATATTTAGTAAATACTACATAGACGACACCATACTGCCCAAATAATATCTACAAATAAAACCAGTTCGATAAGCCAAATAAATTTATATATCTATATTCGTTTCTTCTCAGAGTAGAGAAGGCTTCACTTTCTCTTACATATTTTCTTGACAGCGAATCCTAAATGTTTTCATGGCTCATTTGTGTTCAAATATTCGAAAGAAGCAGAGAATGTGTGTTTTCTTGCAGTGTTTCATTGCTAACCGCCATTAACGAAAGAAATAAAACGACTCTCTTTTCCGATAGCAACATCATCGGTAAAAACCGACCTGAAAAA